CATAAGCTCATATCGTTACAAGGTGCAAGCATTAGAAATACACATGCATTCAAGAAGGGCTTGCAAAGCCCCGACCTGGACAGCCCAGGCAAGCCCGATCTCATCAGATCTCGGAAGCTAAGCAGGGCCAACCCTGGCAAGTACTTGGAAGGGCGACCTCCAAGAAATGCCAGGGCTGGGGACGCAGAGGCAGTTTATCAAACCACCTCTCTGAAATGTCCAAGCCCCACTAGGGGTCGCCAGAAGTCACCATGACTTCCAGATTTCCACGCACACACGTGCACGAACACACGCAAACACATACAACACTCACCAAAAAAACCCCAAAAAGAAGGGTTTGTAAACAGCAATTTGCCAAGGCCTATTTTCTTGTAAATGGTGTCTTAAGGTATGCACGCTTTTAAAATTTGTTTGCTCAAAAGTATTTTGGAGGCATGACCATGTGATCTACCCTCCCCTGCACATTTCTGTCATGATGCCTTTTGATGTCTTCCCACTGTTCTCTTGGGGGTTGTGCAAGTGGCAAACATCCCAGAGACTCTCAGTTCAAAACAGTAGAGATGTCAGAGAAGGAAGAATGGGGTGTCTGCAAACTTGTAATCTGTAGTCCTCTTGTTTGCAGGAGTTCTGTTCCACTGTCCTGGAGGTCCTGACCCCAGACGATGTGCGAGTCCTGATAGAGACAGAGGATGAGTTTGCTCGACGTGGACAGTTTGAACGAATCTTCCCCTCACGTGTCTCCATGCACTACCTGCGCTTCTTTGAGCAACCACGCTACTTCAACATCCTTGTTGCCCAGTGGGAGTTGAAATATTTCTCAAATAAGAACAAGGGTAAACCGACTGCTACCACCACCTCCTTACCCTTCTAGGGTACTGCTAACAAATTAACAAATCAGAACCTTCTGTGTCCCTTGCCAAAGCATTATAGTCCTTCACTACTACAGACTGGCAGAGTAGAATTTGGGCAGTGCAGTAAACTATATGGTCTTGCAGCTGCTCCTCCCACCCTTTAGTTTCTGTCTTAGGTTCATGAGCACCTGTATGTTTTATTTTATAAGTGCTAGGGTGAACGGCTGGTGGGTATCGTTGAAGCTCATTCCTGTAATATCACATGAGCTAACACCATTCATCAGCAATATCTCCCTCAGAAAAAAATATATACCGCAGGTTAGGAAAGGCACAAATAGGTATAGCAAAAAGCCTGCATGGTTAACAAACAAAGTAATAGCAGCTGTAAAAGGTAAGAAGGATTCCTTTAAGCGGTGGAAAGCTAGTTTAAGTGAGGTTGGTAAAAGGCTGTGGCAAATAAAATGCAAGTCTGTGATCAGGCAGGCAAAAAGGGAATATGCGGAGCATATAGCAAAAAACATAAAGACCAACAATGAAACTTTCTTTAAATACATTAGAAGCAAGAAACCAGCCAGGGAGGCACTGAGGCCCCTGGATGACCAAGGGGTAAAAGGAGTACTGAAGGATGATGGGGAAATGGCTGAGAAGCTGAATGCATTTTTTGCCTCTGTCTTCACTGTGGAAGATGAGAAGTGCTTGCCCATCCCAGAACCGCTGATTTCGGGAGGGGTGTTGAAAGACCTGAGTCAGATTGAGGTGGCGAGAGAGGAGGTCCTACGACTGATAGACAACTTAAAAACTGATAAATCACCAGGCCCGGATGGCATACATCCGAGAGTTCTGAAAGAACTAAAATGTGAACTTGTGGGTCTCCTTACAAAAATATGTAATCTTTCCTTAAAATCTGCCTCCATTCCTGAGGACTGGAAGGTAGCTAATGTCACTCCCATCTTTAAAAAGGGTTCCAGAGGAGATCCAGGAAATTACAGGCCAGTCAGTCTGACGTCGATACCGGGTAAATTGGTGGAAACCATTATTAAGGAAAGAATTAGTAGGCACATAGATGAACAAAACCTATTGAGGCAGACTCAACATGGGTTCTGTAAGGGAAGATCTTGTCTCACTAACCTATTAGTGTTCTTTGAGGGGGTGAACAAACATGTGGACAAGGGGGATCCAATAGATATTATTTACCTTGACTTCCAGAAAGCTTTTGATAAAGTTCCTCATCAAAGGCTCATAAGTAAGCTCAAAAATCATGGGATAAAAGGACAAGTCCTTTTATGGATCAAAAACTGGCTAATTAATAGAAAACAGAGAGTGAGTATAAATGGGCAGTTCTCCCAGTGGAGGGGGGTAAGCAGTGGGGTACCACAGGGATCAGTACTTGGTCCACTGCTTTTTAACTTGTTCATTAATGATTTGGAGTTGGGAGTAAGCAGTGAAGTGGCTAAATTTGCGGATGATACAAAGTTGTTCAGGGTGGTGAAAACCAGTGAGGATTGTGAGGCACTCCAAAGGGATCTGTCAAAGATGGGCAAGTGGGCGTCAACATGGCAAATGGGGTTCAATGTGGCCAAGTGCAAGGTGATGCACATTGGAGCCAAAAATCCTAAATATAAATACACATTGATGGGGTCTGAACTGGCAGAGACTGAGCAAGAGAGAGATCTTGGAGTTGTAGTGGATAACTCACTGAAAATGTCGAGACAGTGTGTGACTGCAATAAAGAAGGCCAATGCTATGCTGGGGATTATTAGGAAGGGTATTGTAAACAGATCAGCCAATATCATAATGCCGCTATATAAATCAATGGTGCGACCTCATCTGGAATACTGTGTGCAATTCTGGTCACCACACCTTAAAAAGGATATTATAGCTTTGGAAAAAGTGCAGAAAAGAGCAACTCGAATGATAAAAGGGTTGGAACACTTTCCCTATGAGGAAAGGTTAAAGCGCTTAGGGCTCTTTAGCTTGGAGAAAAGACGACTGAGGGGTGACATGATCGAGGTTTATAAGATTATGCATGGGAAAGAGCAGGTAGAGAAAGAGGTACTTTTCTCCCTTTCTCACAATACAAGAACCCGTGGGCACTCCATGAAATTGCTGAGCGGTCGGGTTAGAACGGATAAAAGGAAGTACTTCTTCACCCAAAGAGTGATTAACACATGGAATTCACTGCCACAGGAAGTGGTGGGTGCTACAAGCATGGACGGCTTCAAAAGGGCCCACTGCTGGACCTCCTGATGGCACCTGGTATTTTTGGCCACTGTGTGACACAGAGTGTTGGACTGGATGGGCCATTGGCCTGATCCAACATTGGCTTCTCTTATGTTCTTATCTGCTTCTTTTTCTTCATCGTGCTGGGAACATATTAATTAGTGTGCCTGAACACTGCATGTGTTTATCTGCACTTGTGCAGTAGCTTACCTAACATCAGTCTCTTCTGAGTGTTTACATGTGTGTCGCTTGTCTGTTTGCAGGGGTGGATCTGCTCAGAAGCTGGTGTTACAGAGGCTATCACAATGGGATAGTAACAGATACCACATTGATGGTAAGAGTGGATTTCACTCTATGTGCTAACGGCAATCTCTTCTTTCATGAGGCTACCCATAGGGCAACAGCTTTGCTTGCTGGTAATCAAGCATGTAAGCATGATTCTTTGATTTTTAGTGTTCACCCTAAATGTCCCTTGTCCCCAAAACTTTGGATTTTTAGGATGTTGTAGGCAACTTTGTAAGAGACTAGCAAGGAATGCTGCTCTGTCTGCTGCCTGTATGATGCCACCTCACTTAGCTGCCTTACCCTGCTCTCTCAATTCCAGTGGACTCTTCCAAGAACCCAGGTCTATTTGAAGAATGATTTCATCTTGAATGGCATGAACAAGATTGAGTCAGGCCGAATCAGGTGAGGTCATATTCTGCATGCCCCAATTTCATGCCTGGAACCAGTTTAAAGAAATGGGAGCAATCTGTAAAGAAAAGGGTTTTAGACTCAGCAGAGGCCTTGAGAAGATTCTGTTTGCATATTTTCAGGCCTTTCCCCTACGCAGAATGTACATGGTCAGTTTTTAGCTTTGAAAAATGATACTAGGAAAGCTGCTAGTTGTAGCCTTTTTCACAAGTCACACTGAACACACAATCTGTGTAGAGTGTACACTTGATTTTACTTTATGTGTCAAGTAATTCTTATTTATATTCAATGCATGTACAACTAAACGTGATTTATCCCCCCCCCCAATTATCTAGGTAGTGATCCCAAGTTTCATCTGTAAAGTTAATGTGCATTGGCTCTTTCTTTCAAACAGATGTATGCATGTACGTACAGAATGTTTATGTATTCACTGTGACATGTGAACAGTGCTGCTGTTAACCTATTTTGTTGTACAGTGCTGCTGTGCATTTTCAGCCCTGTTGCAATCAGCAATAACAGCCTTCCCATTCCACTTGCCCTTCCACCCTGTTGTGAGAAAAACCTGTCTAGCCCGTTAATTGCAAACACCAGCTCCTTGTAGAGACGTTTTGTCTCTTTAATACTTTCCTGTTTACTAGGATTGGGCCATGCTTTTTCTTCTCTTTCCTTAATTAAATAAATTAGTTTCAGTTTTAAATAGTCTTTTTATTTTAATTAACACTCTTCTAATATCAGGGAAACCATCTTTGCAAGGGGACGTCTAATATTGATATAGTCGCCAGCCACTCACCATTTGTGATCTTGAATTCTTTGTTCTATAATTCTTCCCTTGACTCTTTCTACTATTATGTCAGTATACATTTGGCTCATATGGGCACCATAAACCCTTGTGGCTTCCGTGCCCATCAGGTAGAGGAGCAGTCATGAAGACTGTTGAAAGTGACATGCTTTGGGGATGACTGTTCTGTTCTGTGATGCAAGCCAGATGTTTTTTCTCTTTCCAACAGCAAAGCCCTTGTTCAGCGAGATGAAGAAGAATCGTCCCGGAGCCCAGAAACGACCACTTGCACTCAGAGTTTACCTCTGATAAAATACACAGCCGGAACACTCAAGAAAGGCACAGTCCCTCAGGCCTTCAGCAACTCAAGCCTGGTAAAGTGATGAGGAACCACATGAGTGGCCAGTTTCCCCTCCCCAGCAGTGTGTGGAGGGAAGAGGACACATACAGCCTACCTCAGCAGATGCTAGGAAAGCCAACCTTGGAGGCATGGGGAGAATCTCTCATCCAGCATGCCCACCCAAGGACTATTTTTTTAAAGGAAATTGGGACAAAAGGGATATGTCGTCTGTCTTGGTCAAAAGGGACAAAAACTCCATTTATTTATATATGTGTATACACACACACATACATATATATATTAGTTTTTGTGTGTGTATGTGTCAAAAGAAGTATCTAAACACGGACAGCTTGGAAAACCTATTTAATTTTTAGTGTGAATTCCTTGCAGTTCATTGACCTTGCCATGTTCCTCATCACCTGAGCCTCAAGTGCCTCTCGCTGCTAAGTGCCAATGTGTTAGATCAGACTGGGCATTGCAGATCTCAGTGTCCGTCTGTGAAATGACCTGCTACTAGGTGGTCAGACTGTACGTGATTGCAGTCGACTTAAAATGTCATTCGTTCACAGCCAGATAGAACAAGGTTCCTTTTCACCAAACACCATGGCATTACTACTTTTAAAATGTCATATCTAATACCAGTATTCATAAATGTTGTAATACACCGTTAAAAGAAATGGAGACTGAGGGGATGCATGTAGTTGATATTCTCTATGTACAAGTCCATGGTTCTTTGATACTGTCTTTTTGATGGGGTTCAGTCCTCGACAGGATTTTCTACTTATTTGTTACTCTGTGGTGAAGTGCGTCTTGTAGTGTGCTACCCCAAAGTACAACATTGGCATAAGGGGAGTACAGGTGAGATTTTCTTAAATCAAAAGGAGCATCTCCTTCAGGGTCTAGCACAGTGCCAGGCCTTGGAGAAAGAACTGTTAGAAGATCGGCAAATCAAGGTTATCAAATGCCTACCTTGCATGCATACCATAAAACACACTTTGCAACCATTTCCCCCCTAAGGAAGATTTAATTAAAGGTTAGCCTTTGATGTTGCTAAGGAGTATGTTAATTCCTCCAAGGCCTGCAGCTTCATCTCAATGAGTGCTTTCTAATCAACCAGCCAGTGCTGCCTCATTCCCTTTTCTGCTATAGACTTCTACCCTTCTGATGCAGCCTTCCGTTTGATCCTCCACATGCAGCTGCTGGGTGACCTTGGGTCAGTCAAAGTTCTCTGAGATCTGTTCACTCAAGCGCAGTTCTTTCAGAGCTCTCTCAGCCCCACCTACCTCACAGGGTGTCTGTTGTGGGGAGAGGAAGGGAAGGAGATTATAAGATGCTCTGAGACTCCAAGTGAAGTGTGGGGTATAAATCCAGTCTCCTCTTCTTCTTGCTCTCAATTTTAATCCGTTACAGGATGTCATCTCTGTGCAAAGCAACTCTTGATTCTGGCTGTTGCCTTTCACTTCTGTACACATGCCTGGAGAGAACTAGTACATTTGATTTCTGCAGCTTGTGCAAACTGGCAAGGGCTGTTAACTGTCCTGATTCTTCGGTGGTGATGGACTTGTATCTGTTTGACACTGAGACCTAGGCACTTAAGAGTATTTTCCAAATGTGCCCAGGCATAACTTGTAGGAAGCTGCTAGACTTCTCTTGGGTATCTCTGAGACTGGAGGGGGGAGGTTGGTAACCACGACTTCAAGAGATGTTTTTGCAGACTGAAGGATAGAAGTCCCTTTGTCCATCCCATTCCCTTCACCCTGTTTTGGCAGAGGCTATTGCCAGTACATAAAGGGCTGCGGTGGCTCAAGTGGTTGAGACGCTGAACTACAGACTGGAAGGGCGGTAGCTCAGCAGTTCGAGACCTGAGTGCTGCATGACGGAGTGAGCTCCCATCTCTGGCTCCAGCTCCTGCCAACCTAGCAGTTCGAAAGCAAGAAATTGCAAGTAGATAATTAACAGCGTTCCGTGCGCCTCGGCGTCTAGTCATGCTGGCCACATGACCACGGAAACGTCTTCTGACAGCGCTGGCTCTTCGGCTTGGAAACGGAGATGAGCACCGCATCCCTAGAGTCGGATTCGACTGGCTTTCGAGCAAGGGAAACCCTGTTGCCAGGACTGTGTGGTTTTCCATGAGGTGGATAAATTCCCCGATGCTTGACAAGATTAGTCTTCCATTGTTATTCCCAGGAAGAATTATGACATTCTCGTCCCCTGTGTGCACTTCCCTCTGTGGAGAGGGGCACTTAGTTTAGGATTTCTGATGCACTGGTATAGGGGAAAGAGGTACCATCCCTGGGGTGTACCTTTCTTAAAGAAATCTCTCCTCTCTCCACTGGTAGGGGCAATAGGATAGGCCCCCTGGCATCTCCTGAAGTCACAGCTAGGCCCAAGCCCGGGAGCGCCGTAGAGACCAGCAAGATGTTCAGGGTGTGAGCTTCCGAGAGACCAGAGCTCCTCAGATGCGAGATCCGTGTGCCTGACGAAAAGGAGCTTTGACTCTTGGAAGCTTATGCCTTGAAGTCCTGATGGCCTTTATGTTGCTCCTGGATTCGAATCCAGCTGTTTTACTGCAGACCAACACGGCTGCCCTCTGAGAGCATCCCCTTAGGTCATACCACCGTTTCCAGCTTCCTTCCTATTGGAAAATACGGGGATCTGATTTTCTTCCTGCTAAACTGCATTGTGCTACTCAGATAAAGTTGCTTCCTAATTACTGAGCTCCAGGACACCTTAATTGGAATTTTAAGAAGTGGTTTACAGCAAGGGAGCTGTACACAGCACACCCTATTAAGAGCAAATCTAATTCTTACTAGCTCTACCCTTTATATTTGTAATTTGTTTGGACTACCTAGCCCTTAGAGACTGGAGAACTGGGCACACAGGATGAGGCTGAGAGATCCTGGTGAGTGGAAAGTCAAGCATGCAGGGTGTGGAGTTGCTTTTCCCATAGCTCTTTAGCACTATTAGAAGCAGCTCTGCCTGTATCATGTATGGGAAAGTGTTGCCTGAAATATCCACTTACATTTCTTTCTCGCTCCATTGTCAGTATAGAAAAGTGTACCTTGCAGATGCTGGCTTTATCTAGAATGGTGTGGTATTCATGGCATGACACTGTGTTGAAATGCCTTTTCTCCTTGGCTTTTCAGTTCCACATCCTAAAAGCCACCGAAGCATCTCTGCAAGGCTGAACCCTCTTGAAATGGGACATAAAATGAGTAGTCTTGGCGATGACCTTCCTCAGTGGGCAGTTGTCATTCTTTACCTAGAGCTTCACAAAGTGTTTTGGGAGGGGGGAAGAGAAGAAGTAATTGCACTAACTTCAGATGGGTGAGAGTCTTTGTTCTAAACAAAGGCAGATCCTACGGGAAGCGTGGGCATTTTATTTTTACTTTTTGCTTTTTTTCTGCACACTTTAAGAACTAAACCTGGCAGCAGGCTTAGTTTGTTGTGGAATGAAACACGGGTGGGGTGGGGGGGGTATTTCCTGCTGCTATCTATCATTAGTGTGTGTGTGTTTTGTACCTAGTTTAACTGTTAGAGCTATGTTCCCCTGACACATGAACCAGGAGGGTTGTTATCAAATTATAAATCATATCTTAGTATTCATTTACTGGCATAAGCCCTGTAACTGGGTTTATTCTATTCTTCCCTGTTAAAAAAAAAAAAAAAAGAGTGCTATGTTCCCTTCCTTTGGCTTTGTAAAGTATTGGTCCCTCTCAGATATTTCCTTCCTTTGGGGCTTTGTATCCCTCTCAAACCCCATAGCAACCACCTTCCCCAGTTAACTAGTCTGACTCTTTGGATTGTATTGAATTACCTAAAATAGCTAGCTATGTAGAAGCGAGAAAGTGGATAGGGCTCTTCGGGTGTCCTGAGGAATTCCCCCAGCTTCCAATTTCCCTGGTCTGCCTTCTGAACTGCCCGTCGCCATCAACCCTTCTTGGTACCTTAAGTAATTACTATCAAACAGGTGTTTACATAGCAGGAGTACCAGTCTGCTCTGTTACCTGTGTTTCTTGGTATTCGGTGCCACTGATCGCTCCCATCAGAGAAGTTTCTCTCGCTCTTTTCCTCCACCATCCATAAGCAGTTGGACTCTGCTATCTTAGTGGTCATATAAAGCAGTGGACCTGACAAGACCTGGATGGCAGGAAGTAGATTTCTGGATAAATGGGCTCCATTGGCTTCCATTTTAATGCTCTACATTCCTTGCACTCCCTGGTGGCTTTGTATTATTTAAAATAGTCCTTGTAGCAGATTTGGCCCTAATAGTTTGAGCTGTCAGGGGAGCTCTTCCAAGAAATGTGCTTAATATTGTGAGGAAGAGGGGGCTGGAATATACCTTTTAGGGAGTCTTCTCCTGTGTTTTAGCAAAAGTCTAAGAAATGTGCCCTAGTTTATCCAAAATGAGAAAACTGTTACAGGGGGACATGCCATCCCTGCACCTTCCTCATTGCACAGTTCGAAGGCTCTGTAATTGCTGTTCCAGTCTGTGTGACACAGATTGCTCTATCTTCAGAAAGAACTGTTCTCTTCTGTTCAGGTTGAGATGTGAATGGTCACTGGTGCATTGGTGGTGATTTCAGTCTTTTAAAGTATTTGTGATTCAGAGGTGGGTATGTATTTATCCTAAAAGCATGTTGTGATTATAACTTAAACTCAATCTTTGCTAAATTAAGGATTTTTAAAATAAACCTTTTAAGTATAAGTAACCAGCTCCTCTCAGTTTCTTGGCCCTTAACAATACAGCACCTCGGGCCCAGTTTGAGCCCATCAAATGAGTTTGTTGAGATAAGTGGAAATCAACATCTTCCTATTCCTGGAGTCTCCAGGTGAGACATCCACTTCCTGCAAACCTTTAGTTATTGCACAGAGCAGCTCAAACAGCTGCCAAGTACGGTTTGCAGCTGCTTGCTGGTCCCTAGCCAACTCACAGCTGATTGGATCATCCCGAAGTGAGGTTCTGAGCCTACCCAGTCAACAAAATAGCTACGAATGGAGATGCAAAAGGGTTATGAGAGCTTGTTCTCCCTTCAGTGGGGGAAGTCATCCAAACTGGGTTAGGTCACGCCTCCTCTCCCTCCAGGCAGGGCTATGCAAATTTGTGTAGACTGTCTTGGCTCTGAGTGAGGCTGACCGTCCAGTTCCAATAGCTCTGCTGCTCCAGCAGGACGCCTGAGTCTAGCTCTGCTTTCTTGGAGACTCTTGCCTTATGTGGAAGAGGGAGAGAAGCCTTGAGGAAAGGCCTCATCGTCGGTCTTAAATGAAGAAAAAAGAGACCTTTAAGACAAGCCTCTCCCGCCTGAGGCTCCAGGCACCGGAGACTGGCCAATGGCAGGAACATCTACAATGTCATAAACTGCCCTCAGTGGGAGACCGCTGTGGCAGGCCTCTCCCGCCTGAGGATTCAAGCATTGGGAACTGGCACGGGCCTCTGTCGGTGTTGCCAGGCCCGAGGCTTCCGGTTGTTAATGCAGCCGGCCCCCAACTGTGCTGGAAAAATCCAGCAGAGCTCTACTGGGTCTGAACCCAGAGCCGGTCTCTTACCCTGTAAAGTATGGAAGACGGGAGGGCCTTGAGGCAGGGCCCCCTGG